TTTGTCTTGATTATTGAAAAGTGTTATCAATAAATTTTCCGTTTATAAAAAAATGTAGTTGTTGAGCAACAAAAGAAATAATACACTTTTTTGTTTTAATTATTTTTATACCTCACTTTATTTTGTTATTACTTGTAACAAAATTCTTATATGGACCGCGACAACATCAAAGGTTTAAGTTTTGGCCCTTGAGGCATTGGAAGTTGGACACCCCTGCTCTATACTCTTATAATATTCTTATATTACTCTAAGAAGACGACTAAACAGAAAATCTTCCACATCATGCAGCACGATTTGCAGCTTTTTTGTCTGTAAAATGAATTCTCTTAGAAGTATCAGTAGCAGAGATTGTATTTTGAATTTTACCGTGTTTTTTTAGTTTCAAAAAATACATTGCGTCATAATTCGTTGATTATTTTGAAAATTTTCATTTATTTTGATTCAATGTAGCATCCACAACAGAACTAAACTTTTTATTTGACTAACTGAATCAACAGACATTAACTTCCTCACCTACTTTCAACTATATTAGGATTTGTTTTCAAACAGTATAAATTTAACAACTTATGTTTCAAGTGGACTCCTTGAAAGATCTCCCTAATTAAGTAATTCTCCGAGCCGCTGTGACTAGCGTTGCATCACAGAAAATATACCTGGACTAAATTTGGCATCTGAATTCGCGATTGCGCCACCATCCCTTCAGATATATTTGGTAAAACTATTTAACGGCCAAAACCAGAGCTTTAAAAACTTTTAATAGGGTCCAATCCCCTGCTGTACAGATTTAACCTGTTAGTTAAAGTATTCATTCATATTTGAGAGTCAAATTACATATAATGAAGATTATTATTATAAACTAAAACCGACATAATTTTTTGAAAATTAAGTATCAAACTCATTCATAATTTGGTGAGAAAGAACTGAAATATTCACTGATATTCTTCTTCTTGTCTTGCCTTACAACTCGGGGTCAGTCGTAATCGCATCCGATATTGCACACCATCATATTCACTTATACTTTTTGCTAATCATTTGTTTTATGCATGATGATTTTTAAGATGTAATTGTAAGTTATATAATCTTTATAAGATTCTATTGGTTTTCTTCATAAAATATAATGAATTTTATATTTTACTAAAAAAACTACTTTTTTTTATTGTACTGGGCTCGAAAGATGAAAATCAAATATAACTCAAGTAGAAACATGGAAACTGTAAGTGACGTCACTTGATATGGGGACAAGATAATCATCAAATTAAAAATAAAGTGAAGAAACACTACACAGTTACAGATGCATGATGAGTGAAAGTAGATTTAGAATTCTGATATCATGTCTTAGATTTGATGTCATAGTTCATCGAGATCGTCAGATTATATTATACTAGATATATTTATTTCAAATTGTACAAAATTCTATATCTACCCTGAAGAAGTACATTAGTATAAATAATAACATCTTAGATTTCAGGCGCAACTGATCCTTTTCAAATATCTTTAATTTGCCTCAAATTCGAATGAATATACTTCCAATGTGTAACACGTTAACATATCTACTCGTTAATACCAAATGATTAATTTTAATGCAGAAACTTGTCTAATAGATCACATGACAATAGTGCTTTATCACTTTTATCTGTTAAAACTATTTGTATTTTAGAAGATTATGAGATACATTTACCACATTTCAGATTTGATTCAATCTATACAACTGATTCTTGTGAAATTTAATAGTCACTTAGAGCTAAGGTAATGGACGTTCCATACAATACCCTAATTTATTTATCTTATCCATAACAGTTAAATACACACACATTTAATACTTACAAGGAGCAAAGAGTAATCTCAAAATAAATACAATATTTCACGAAGACGAGAAGACAAAACGGCCTGTACAATCAAACACTGATTTGTTATTTAATCACAGCCCATTTGGAATTTCTCGAAGAGAGAGATTTCTTTATAGGTTTGGCAGCGCGGTCGCACTTCTTACTTTTTTGTTTTGCGGGTTGCATAAATAAGCACTTAGACTAACTTTTAAAATTCGGTTCAGGAGTTGTCAAAAAGTAGACGACAGAACAACAAACGTAGGCAATACTTATTTCATATTATTTTTTAAATGTAAATCAATTTGTTATAGTTTGGTCTATTCTGTTTTAACGTTATAAACGTCACATCTCTATTAATTTATATTTAAACAATTATTTCATTTTATTTTCTTAAGTAATTTATTAATTTGTTTATCTTCAGTTTAATTTTTAATATTTTTTATTTAAAAATTAGTTGGTGCCCTCTCTTTCTCCCTCTGTTTTCCTTTTTTTACTGTCTTTATTTACTCCTTCTTACTGTCCCGTAGAATAAATATTCGATCTCCCTCTTTCTGATTTGTATTGACAGACAAGCTAGTTTCATGAAATAGCAACATCCTATGACATCTGTGCTAACTTCATTTAGTCTCCCACTTTCTCTCAAAACAACTCATCTAACGTGGTGGGATTGTTTTTTGTCTCTTTTTGATATTTACAAAAGAAGGCAACAATTATTATTAGACTCATTTTATGATCTAAAAATTCTCTTGGGGTATTACTTTCATTGTGATATTTATTCTATAATTCTGACCGATTTCCAATTTTCATAACCTTACTTCTTTCACTAAACCACGTTTCTTAAATATGATCTTTTTTATCGATTATGTGCATCTAGAAATCTTAACAAAATTTAGCTTAAGTTCAGTAATAATCATATTTCATTTTATCCCTGCCATACGCTATTTGTTTACTTGTAATTTTGTAACATGACAAGGAAGTTAAATCTTTCTTCTTGATGTGTCTCTAATGCCAGCTGTTTCTTATTGGAAATTTTATTGGGCATGTAGCAACTTTATTGGCATATTGACAAGTTTATTAGTACCAAAAGTATTACCTTTATTGAACTTTTTAATCAAAAGATACAACCACATGTGACTGCAGCTCTCCATAAACAACCTTTAATTGGATGACCTAACAGCTAGAACACACAAGCAGCCCATCGAACGAAGCATAAGTATCACTTATCAATTGTTAAGCTTTGGCAGGATTAATTATTGTGTGTTTTTTATTCTTTTAAATATGTTTGGTTAAAATGTGTCTTATTTGCTATCAAGGTTCAATCCCTATTTTAAGACAAGACGAACTCACCCTTGAGATACTGAGCTAGGTAAGGTATAGACGATGAGCTTCCATGGTTGATTGAGGTATTATTTTTACAATAGTACTTCAGTTCTCTTTGGCAGTCTTATCGTTACACATTGTCTAGCTCAGTATCTTAAGGGTGAGTTCGTCTTGTCTTAAAATAGGGGTTGGACCTGAGTTCTCAGTTCAAAAAGCAAAAATTCAAAAAGCAAATAAGACAATAAACTGAAATAAAAGCTAAAACAGCTTGCATTAGAGACACATCAAAAAGAAAGGTTTAACTTCCTTGCCATCTTCTTAGAATGCCGTCTCCCTACGGAGGTTGGCAATCATAATGGCTATTTTTATTTTAGAACTTGCTGCTCTAAACAAATTAATCGATCTGCATTCATAACAATCACGTAGATTCTTTAACCATGAGTTCTGCCTTCGGCCAACATATCTTCTTCCTTGAATCTTTTCCTATATTATGAGTCTCAAAATTTCATATTTTGGTCCCTTCATCATGTGGCCTAGGTATTCCAGTTTTCTGGTTTGTATAGTGGTGACTAGTTCTGTTTTTTTACCAACCCTCTCCAGTACTTCTTTATTTGTACATTTTACAATCTCACAAAATTGCAATTAAACAAATAGCTTATGGCAAGGATAAAATGAAATATGATTATAACTGAACTTTAGCTAAATTTTGTTGAGATTTCTAGATGCGTATAATCGATGAAAAAAATCATATTTAAGAAACGTGGTTTAGTGAAAGAAGTAAGGTTATGAAAATAAATCGAAAATGCGGTCAGAATTATAGAATAAATATCATAATGAAAGTATTCACCCCAAGAGAATTTTTATATCATAAAATGAGTCTAATAATAATTTTTGCCTTTTTTTATAAATATCAAAAAAAAAAACAACAAATAATCCCACTACGTTAGAAGAGTTGTTTTGACAGAAAGTGGGAGACTAAATGAAATTAGCACACATATGTCACAGGATGTTGCTATTTCATAAAACTAGCTTGTCATAAAAAAGAAAAGGAAAACAGAGGGAGGAAGAGAGGTCGCCAACTACTTTTTAAATAAAAAATAGTAAAAATTAAACTGAAGATAAACAAATTAATAAATTACTAAAGAAATTAAAATGAAATAATTATTTAAATATATATTAATAGAGATGTGACGTTTATAACGTAACACTGTAAAAAGAACTATTTTACTTGTCTTAATAAATCGAACTAAAATTATTCTTGTATTAATTATTGAGTTTAATCAATATTTAAAGTTGGAGCATAATATTTCATATTTTATGATCTGAAGAAATATCTTCTTTTGTTCTTCTTCTTTTTTTTTTAATAACCCATTCTCAAATTTGTGTGATGTTTGAGCTACAATCGTATTTTTGGTGTTTAAATCTACTTAAGATCTCTACTTCAATATTATATCAATGTATATGTTAGGTAGTTATTGGTATAATATACTACATGCTATCTGATATAAATATCACCCGGATGTAGATTATCTACTCAACCATACACATGTTTTTCTTTTAATATTTTCCAGCCAATATATATTTTGCCAATTAGAAATTATGAACATTTTCAGTCCAATATTATTTAATACTTTGTTTGGTATTAAAATTGCCTGCAATTAGTTCTTATGTCGCCTATCTTGACGAGAAATATAGGTAGTCTATATACTAAGCCCCGCTTATTTTTGCAACAATTGTGCTCGGAGTCTTGCCAGGTATATTTCAAAGGTTATCTATTGTTTATATAATATATAGTGTATACTAATGGCGTATAAGCACCCTTAACTGAGGTACCCACGGCTCAGAGGCCATTTGTTAGTAGGGCCGACTGGCGTCTTTGGGCCTTTTCAATTGAACCTTAAGTCTCTTCATGCCTATTTGGAAGCCGTTCATAGCTTGGATGGCGGCTTGAGCACTGGCTGGATTATCGAAAGATACAAATCCTAAAAAATACATTTTATATAAATCGTAAAATCCAACATTTATTATAAATTTTAATAGACCACAAAACTTGACTACGAATAAGACAAAGTAATTATATATTTTAGCGTATTTAAAAGAGCATCAAAGTATCAAGGAAAGCTCTAAAATAACGTAAGTATGTTTAAGATTTTTATTGCATTACAAATGATACCTATTATTTTTAAAATCTCACTAATAAGAAATAAGAGTTATAACGGATTTCTTTAATGGATAGGCGCTAGTCAAGGACCACCAGCACATAATAATGTTATTTATGAGATTAAAGCTGCAGACTCTGTGACACAGAACCAGAAACAGTTAACCATATTTTAAATGATTTCGAGGCATTAGATGGAAGGCGGCCAAAATTTTTTGGAAAGTATCAAGTGACTCCAAAAACATACAGTACCCATCCATTAGATCTGCAGAAGCTGATACAGGGTTCCAGAATTATGGAATGGATCTTCTTGTTCTTCTCTTAAGGTGACGTGCATTTACCATACATTGCCTTGTCAGGTTATAACGTTCATTATCATCATCAACCTGTATGCGTCCACTGTATTGTTTGTGTGGATTGCATCCAGTTAGTGCTAACACGTTTCAGGTCGTCAGTCCTTCTAGTGGGCATTCTCTGCTCCGTAGTGCTTTTGTATTGGTCTCCACTCGATAATTCGTCTGTCCATCGGTTGTTTGATAATCTGACAACGTGTGCTACATAATTTCATTTTAGCGTCGCATTTTTTTTTTGATAGCGTCTCTTGTTTTTAATCTACGACGTATTTTATCGTTTGAGATTCGGTCTCTCAAAGAGACATCCTACATCTGGTGCTCCATAGCCCTTTAAGTCACGTGGATTTTATTCACTACTTTTTTGTGAGTGTTAATGTTTTGATTTTATAAGTGAGTACAGGTAGTTCACATTGATTAAAGATGAGGTTCGATTGAAACGCATAGTTTAATTTACCAAACGCTACCCAGGCTAATCCTATGCTAGGTGGCAGCTCACATGTCTGGTTATCTTCGCCTAACCGAATTTCATCTCCTAAGTACTTATATGATACAGTCTACACAATATCAGTTCCATCAACAACAACAATTTTATTTAGCACCAGATTAGTCATTATTTGCGTCTTATATTAATCTTAAGTCCCACCTTCAAGGAAGCGTGATAAATAATTTTTCAAACATTATTATTGTATCATACATACGATCGGCTATTAGGACGATGTCATCTGAAAATCTCAAATGACTGAGCTTCTCTCTATTTATGTTGAGACCATGCTCGTTCGTATGTGCTTCTTTCAAGTATGTTCTAAAAGCATCGTGGATAGCTTTGGTGAGATGGAGTCTCCTTGCCGCACTCCTACTGACGCTAGCGGTGGTTCAGAATTTATTTGTTTCTTGTTCAGATAGTCTTACGCTAACTGTGGCATTTTGGTAGATATATTTGATTATGTTAGCGTAGCGGGTCTATTCGGCATTCTGTTAATGCTTTTAACATTTTCTGATGGCTTACGGTATCGAATGCTTTCCCGTAGTCGACAAATATCAGTGTCAATCGTTTGTTAAATTTTGCAAACTAGTCTATAAGGATCTTTATCACTAGTAAGTGTCCGTTAGTGCTGTATCCCGATCTAAATCTAGCTTGTTCTCTAAGCTGATAAAAATTTAACTTGGTGTAATAAGACGTTTTTGCAATGATAATTCCCAATAAGAACGGGTACTGTTAATTTGTACAATTACTAAGAGGTAGGTAATTCGTATTACCAACGGAGCAGGTAAACCAAAACAAAATTTTATGTTGTAAAAATTGTAAGGGGGTATCTAACTACTAATGTGCTAACTCTGAGGTGCATGGAGAACCTCAGTTTCAATAACCTTCCTGTATCATAAGTGGCTCTGCTGCAGGTGACATTTAGTTCTCTATTTTCTTTTAAAACCTTTATGGTACTCTATAGGAAGGAAAAAGGCGGCATATCTGACTCCCAAAGATCGCACACTGAAATGGAGGTTAGCAAATCTCTTGTACAGGCCAAAACTTAGCTTAAAAAAACTGAGGAGGAGCTATTTTCAACTAGTGGTGACGAACTTACACCCTTTAGTCCACTACACGGATAAAAAAGGACAAAGCTATCTGGTTCCGCAAAAAAAGGTTTAGGTACCATATTAAGAAAGGGCTGACTCCGGAAAAAGCTCGAAAGAAAGCAGTCGAGCCCATAAAGGAGATCCCAATATTTGGAAAAAGATTCCAAAAGGGTCCATGCCGAAGACAACACTCCCGAAGGTCGACAGGAAAAAATCAAGGAGTGACGCAGATAAATGCGACACTACGTCTAAATCTGTAAAACCTTCTAGTCAAATGGCTGAAGGTGTGAAAGTGGGAATTCTATTCTCGGGACTGTCACGTTATCACCTTACAACGGAATAATTGGAGGCCGTTAAGGAGATGATCCTAGATAAGATACTAGAGCACCAAAAATGAAAATGCGAAAAACCTAACGCATTGACCACTCAGAACAGACCTGGCTAGCCAGCTTTGATGTGCGCCGACAAAGCCACCTTGTAGTAGCTAAAGATACATTTTGGAGAGATACGGCCAAGAAAGGGTGACACTAAGACTTGTAGAGGGAGCAGGAATTCCTCATACTTCAGTCTCCACGGCGTACCTTTCCGGACGTTTGGATTATTCCACGGAGAAAATTCTAGGCCCAGTAGAATCTCAAAGCTCTAGCTTCCATAACGCTCCAAATTCTAACGCTTTCGGCGGAAAACGCCGTCCTAAGAGTCAAGAGTAACAGAAATCGAGCACTTAGGCTCCATATGAACAAAAAAGTACTTAAGACGAATCCAGAAGGACATGCAAGCAAAGGCCTGACTACAAGGAATCACTTCCCACTATCTGGGAAACTAGGCAAAAAAGGTAAAAATAAATAAAAAATCCTCAAACCAACTTACAAAAATAATCAAAAGGCTGAAGTATTTGCAGATAAATCTTACAAAAATACTAGAAGATAAACCACAAAGTATCCAGATAGCAGAGGCTACAAGGAGCTTCAGCAGATCCAGCAAAATCGAATTGGCTGTTAAGAGCTTCAAAACTTTTAATTAAACCCCCGAGTAAGGACGGTTTATATCCTTTATTTAAAATAGGCTTCATACAAATACATCCACAACTACAGCGGCTTTTCATAGCAAGCCTTGTGTTAGGTCACATTTTAAAAACTTCGAGGGACGAAAAGGTAGTAATTATACCAAAGACGGACAAACGTCCTACGGACGAACTGAAGTCCTTAGGAAGTCCAAACTATTGATCTAAACTCACTAGTAGAAAGTATTGAAAAGACAGCTCTTTGCGCCTTCATTGGCATAGAGGGAGCCATGCGTCACTCAAGGAACATATGCACATAATGTGGTTGTTTCGTATCATATTTGCCTCGAATGAGGGGTACTAGATAATAGAGAGCGAGCACTTTAAGGAGACTATTAAGTAACTTCAGAAGATACGTAAATGAATAATTGTCTAAAAATGAATGAACTGCAGTAAGTAAATTCGCTTGAGTAGTACCGATATATAATAAATGAAAAAAAATACACATCGGATGATGTGATTTCTTCGTTTTCTACTACCATGAATTTTCCACATTATCATACAGGGAGGTTTAATTCCGAGGCATTCTGGATCTTTTAGTATCTACGAAGTTAATTAGAAATAGTGCTTAAAAATATTTAATACGGTGTAAGGATTTTAACGATGCACAAAAAAAGAAGATTAAAAATTCTTTTCTACTCACCAAAACATTTACTCTGGTTTGTGGCACGGTCAATAAATACTTTCGAACTAATCACGTTTCCAAAGGGAAGAAACATCTGCATTAATTCTGCGTCTCCAAATTCTTGTGGTAGATGATATATGAAGAGGTTGCAGCCTTCAGGACCTGATATTGAGCAACCTAAGAGGTAACAACAATTTTAATCTTATCAATAAAATTGCAAGTAATATTTACTAGGAAGCCAAGCAAAATGTGAAAGAAATAATTTTGTTTATTTAAAAAATCCTCAATGTTTATTTTGCATTAAACATATCTACGTATTCTCTTAAAGACTCCACAAATTAGAATAGTTGTTTTGCTTGACCCAGGAGCATTTCGCATAGATATTTCTATATTTAATAACCGTATCATACCGGACGGTTGACTTTAATGTTACTCATGGGAAAAATACATATTAGTATGATTTAGATGAGCAATGAATTTTAATTGTTATGCGGTCGAAATAATATGGACAAATAAACAATTCAAAAGGTTTTTAGTTAATCGTCCCATTTGTTGTCTGCATTACAGCAAGTTGTCAAAAAATATCTTTAAATAATTATAATAATTTAATAATAGAAGGCAATTGACTAATTTTGTATTTAAAGGTAAAATAGTTATTTCTCTTTGTTTATTAAACATTATATTACATTTTAAATATTATTAAAGCATTTCAGTTTGTCAATAATATTTTTTATTGACTATGATTAAGCATAGCAATCATCTACAAGTTTAGATATATAAAAAAATGATTTTATATTTAAAAATATAGGTTCTAGTAAAATTCTTAAAACACTCTTCTATAAAATTAAAACTATCCATGTAAGCAGTTTATTTAATAACCTTTAAAACTTGAATGCATTTTTTAATTAAAAAAATATGGCCATCACTGACTCCGGTTAGATAATAAAGATGGAAATTAATGATTAATAATATTATTATTATTGGTAAGAAGTTAATATGTATACTGAAAGCAAACACCTCAAGTATATTCTTCTTAACGTGTCCCATCCCTAAGGACATTGGGGATCACCATGACCCATTTGAATCTATCTGCAGCCGTTCTGCAAAGTTATTTAACCAGGACGTGCGTCTTCTCCCCTGTCTTTTTTTGCCTTCCACCTTCCCTTGTATGACCAGCTGGATCAATTTCTCTCAATTACCAATCGTTTCTTAGTATGTGACCAAAGTTGCTCATTTTTCTTTTCTTTATAGTGTTGAGTATTTCTTTATTTTTTTTTTTCATTTTTCGTAGCGTACCCGCATTTGTTATGTATTGTGTCCAAGATATTTTCGACAGTCTTCGATAATGCCACATTTCAAAGCTAATGAGTCTTTTCTCTGTCGCCTCTGTAATCGTCCAGGCGTCAACTCCATACAACAGGACACAGAACACGGTTTATCCCAACAGTCTAGTTCTAATTTCAATGTTAAGTTTTCCATTGCATAATATTGCTTTCATATTATTTAAAGCACTTCTAGCTTTCTCAATATGCCGTTTTATTTCCTTTCTTCTATATCATTCTTCATTTAGGTCGCAACCTAAGTACTGATATCTGTGCACCCTGCCTAAAAGTTTTCCTTTAGCATAAACACTGTCTTCCCCCATGTTGTTCTTGCTTACCACCATCATTTTTTTTATTTGTATTCAGTGCCATTCCATACCTTTCGCAGTATTGGGTTATGCGATCAACCAAGATCTGTAGTCATTCTCTACTGTCCGCAAGGAGTATTGTGTCATCTGCTCATCTAAGACTATTCAGAAGTGAACCGTTAATAAATATGCCTTCATTTACGTCTTCTAATGCCTCTTTAAACAATTCTTCTTAAAACATATTAAAAAGTAAAGGGAAAAGCTCGTATCCCTGTCTTTCTCCACGATTTAAAATGATTTCTTTCAATTTTTGTTGATCTACTCGTATTATGGCTTTCTGATATCGAAATGATGTGGCTTTATAGAAGAATGCTGAGAATATCATGGACAGCAGGGATCACGAACAAGGAAGTTCTAGGAAAAATGAAGAAGGAACCAGAGATTGTGTTTACGATCAAACCCATAAAATTCCAATATCTGGGATACGTTATGAAAAATCAGCACCGTTACTCCCTGCTACAGTCTATATTGCAAGGTAAAGTCAACGGTAAGCGACGACCCGGTAGAAGGAAAATATCATGGCTGTGGAATTTAAGAACATGGTTTAAGGAAACCTCAACGGAGCTGTTTCGAGCCGCAGCGAGCAAGGTTATGATTGCCAATATGATTTCCAACATCCGAAACGGATAGGAACCAGAAGAAGAAGAAGATATCGAAATAGAAGGCAATGCTTCTCACGTCTTCGTCATCAAATTTTGTGTTCTGCAGTTTTTTTGCCATTCTTCGGTGTTGTATTTTGTCGAAACCCTTTTCTAAGTCGACTAGATATATGAATATGTCGCAATTGACATCTCGACATCGTTCGATTAGTGTTTTTATAGTAAATAATGCTTCTCTGGTGTCAAAGCGTTTTCTGAATCCCAATTGATTTTCAGCTATTCTATCATCTAGCTTTTTATAGATACGTTCGTGTATCACTCGTAAGAACAATTTTAGAATATGGTTTATCAAGCTAATTGTCCTGCGCTTTTCACACTTCATTGCGTTTGATTTTTTGGGTATTGGAATGAATATTTTTGGTTAATATTAAGATTTTTGTAGGTACTTCATCTGGTCCCATGGCCTTCTCATTTTTTATACGTTCTAGCACTTTTCAATTTCGTCTTGTTAGTGATTGGTGGCCAATTTCTTCCTCTTGGTTCAATGAAATCAATTTTCTCGTCGTCTTCGAATAGCTCTTTTCTCAAATATACGCATGAATAGAGAAACAGATGCAGTACATATACCCACATAGAAAAGCAACGGAGAGGGACGATGTCATCATAAAATACCATGTAGTGTAATTATGTGTTACTTGTATAATCCAAAATAAGAAATGATAAAGGATGACTGTGTGTAGAAGACAAGTATGCTACCTACAGTAGCGGGAGAAGGGAAAGTCATATAGATTTTGTGCTCTATAGAAGAAGCTAGTAAAACGAGGTTACCAATTATAAAGCGCTAAAGGATGAGGGTATAGCTAGTCAACACCAACTGGTGACAGTGGATACGGAGATACAGGTGAGGTGGAAAGGATAGCAAGTAGGACACCAAGAAGTAAAGTTGTAAAAGTTACAGGGTAATAGATGAGACACGATCGAGAACTTGCCTACAGGATACACTCTGGTTGGTTTAATTGGAAGCGAATGAGCGAGGTACTCTGTGATCGAAAAGTCATGACAGGGCTGAAAGGAAAGATATACAAGAATGTGGTGAGATCTGCGTTAATATATGGCGGTGAAGTGTGACCTGTAAACAAGATTCAGAAAAAAAGATTCAGAAGGTAGCTGAAATGAATACGATGGAAGTTGGGTAAGACTAGAAGACTTGATTAGTGAAAGAGCCGGGGTGTCTGCAGTCGTAAAAAATATTTAAGAACTACGACTGCAATAGTTTGGTCACATCAGACATAGAAATAAACACTATGGGGTATTAAGAATAGATCTTTAAGTTGCTGGTAAGAGATATAGAGGCAAGCTGAGTAGCAGAAGGAAGGACTATGTGACAGAGGACTCGAGAGATAAAGGTTTAGGTGAAGAAGAGACGATGGACAGAAATAAGTGCCTTGAGAGGTGCTTTCAAATGAGGTATTACTTGATATTATGATCTAATAGAAAATTATTTTACAAAATGGCGCCCGTTAGCTATTTAAAAAAAAAGCAATATTTCATAGACACAAAAATGATTCAAACAAATACAGAAGCAACAACTTCATGTGTTTATTAATTATTATATTAGAACGTCCTCGAAAAACCTACAAGATGAAAACGATAATTATTGTAAATGTGCTAAGATTAGCAACATTAGTAACAACTTTATCAGATAAACAACGGGGATTCAGATCAGGAAGATCCTGAGTAGATGCCGTATTTGTACCAAGATAAATCACACACAAGGCTATCGAGTACAATAAACCAGCATATCTATGTTCTATAGATCTGACAAAGGCCTTTGATCGCATCCAAGTCGAAGACGTCTTACACCTACTCTATAAAAGAAATAAACCAATAAATATTATACAAACCATCGAAAACATCTATCTCCAAAATCGAATAAGGTAAAGCGGGTATACCAGTACAAAGCGGAGTCAGACAGGGTGACTCGTTGAGCTTACTTCTCTTTAATATAATAATGGACGAAATAATACAAGCAGTACGTAAAGGTCAAAGTCAGAATGGGGAACAAAGAAATCCAAATATTATGTTATGCAGACGACGCCGCATTAATCGCCGAGACAGAAGACGAGCTCCAAAGATTAACATATATCTTCAATACAACAGCAAAACCAAATGTATGACAACATCTAAATACCCACGACGGTGTAAAATCGAAATTGATGGGAAAATATTAAAGCAGGAATCAAGGTTTAGATAGTTGGAAATAGATATAACTAGTTACATAGATGTTGAAAAAGAAGTACAACAACAAAGCTTAAGAGCAAAAAAAGCGGTGGGTTCTCTTAATGACACAATCTGGAAGAACAAACACCTAAGACAAGAATCTATACAGCACACAAAGAACACAAAAACACAAAAACAAGAATCTACAAAGCAGCAATTATATAATCCAAAAAGCGAGAGCTGGCGGGTGAGCCGCGCGAAAATAGAAAAGAAATTATTCTAAGAGAGATAGGAGAGGTACTTAATCGCGATTATAGGTATATAGTATAGGTACTTAAACGTTTATACACGATGTGAACTACTAGCCGACTGCAATAGAAATGAGCAATCCCTTCCACTTTACAATTTGTTCTACACGCAACCCGCCAGCTCTCGCTTGTCGGGTTATACCTTTATTAACATACACGGCGGAGACAAGACCTGACACATCTAAAACGAGACGACTGCTAGAAACAACAAAGATGAAAATACTCCCACGAATATCAGGGAAAAGTCTATTGGATAGGGAGAGAAGCGAAAACATAAGAAGAGCATGCAATATAGATGACATAAATGGATGGGTGACAAAACGAAAACATGAGTGGAACGAATATATCAGTAGAATCGCA